TGTTAAATGATTTAAATAGTAAAAATATGCACTTATGTATTCAGATGGCTCTTTTTTTTTACCTACTTTCTGTCCATGACTCACCATTTTTAAGATAAACCTATAAACTGGCTCAATAGGAGCCATTTCAAGGAACTGCTGGAATATAAATAGTAAAAACAATGTTGGTGTTCTTGAACTGCGTAGATTGCCCAAAACACATGCTTTACAAATTAATATTTCCAGTTTTAGCAGTGAGACGAGCCCAGTTTTAATTTCTAGTTGTAATATACTAATATAGTGCTGTTGCTCTAAGGGTTGCAGATAGGATTCAGACACAAGGTAGGTGAGAACTTTTTTTGGTCTAATTTCTGTTGATGAGTGTGAATCTTTTGAGTTTACATTGAAGAGCTCTGCAAAAACTCTAGCTTACCAATAGAAGCTGGTCAAATAAAAGATTACCTCATCTGCTTTGTAGTTCTACTATTCTGGGCCTGGTGCAGCCCAGTACAAAAAACAAAACAAAAAAATTAGAGAATGTTTTAAATAAATCTAACTTGAATTGATCTACATCTTGTGTTCCTCTAAATGTTAAACTGTTAAACTGTATCTTATGTTGAAGGAGTTGGTTAAGGTGTACTCACAAAATGGAATGCATAGTGCTAGCCACTTAAATTACTATATATGTGTCCAACATTCTACCTGCTAGCTCCATGTGGCTATTTGGCCGGTTGAGTGTGTGTGGTTGGTTTGAACAATAGCTCAGATTATTGCATTCAAAAAATTTTTTAATAAAAAACCAAACATTTTCAGAGAATAAAAGAAAGTTCAGGAGATCTTTCTGAGTTCAAAAGCCACTTTCCATTAATTTGACCCATCTGCTGGATGGAGACTTGTGCCAGTTCGCGGAATAGCTTAAATATGCTGCTTAAGCTGGAAACCATCATGCATCATTGTAAACGGCTGCCATTCAAAACAGCAATATCCAGCATGCAAGCACACATTTGAAGAAAACAGTTTGAATTTTATCCCTTTTTAAAAAAAAAAAATTAAAAACTTACAAATTTAACGCTTCCAGAGACATCAAATCTTCAATGAAGGTACTTTTTTGGCCTCCCCAACAATATTGCTTATTTCTGCTTTGTGCTGAAACTGAACAATATTAATTCATTTTTCTAGAATTTCATCCATGAATTTGTTCATTTTTAGAAAGCCTAATTCTGAATGTGAGAGTTCTAGTACTGAGTCAAACAATGCTGAAAACAACAAATCATCAGTAGAAACTGGCAAAGAAAAAGAGAGATTGGTAGGATGTCAAACGTAAATTTCAAGATAAATAGGAATTGGAATATGCTCTCATTGAGGTGAATGAAAAGCCAACCTGTCTCTTGTGTCATATAACTATTCTGGCAAATAAGACAGACAACATAAGAAGGCATTTCCAAGGGCAGCAAAGTGATTTCGATCCAGTGTATCCTATTGGAAGCAAAAAGCGAGCTGATAAAATTGGTTGGCTGAAATTGGATTTTGAAAAGCAGCAGCAGGTTTCGATGCAGTTTCTACTGCACACTCATCCAGCCAAATGTCCAATACACTAGCGATTAGTGGCTACCACATCACTAGATCATGTTATAACTTCAGCTAGCCTAAGTGACCATTGTTGAATATTTGCTCCCAAAGTAGATACTGTAGGCTGTAACAAGGTAACCCTTTAAATTACTAAGCTAAATAGATTGAAGTGTACATGTCAAAACTAGACACTGTATTCCAGCAGCAGTCAACACTAGTGCCAAATACAGAGATACAAGGCTCGCCAAACCGCAGCAAGCTCTGCTCGCCACCACGTTGTCCGGCGATCTGCGCATGCGCAGACCATTCGCATGCACAGATCGCCCGAACCCGGCTCTTCTGGGTTACAATCTACTCGCCACGGGCAAGTAGATTGTATAATTTGTCGAGCCCTGCAGAGATAGTGATCTCTTTTCTTACTCAAGATTCCTTTGTTTATGCAACCAGAATCACATACCTTGTTTAGGCACCGTATCACACTAGGTGCTCAGAGGGTGGGGGCGGGGTGTGTGTTTACATTTAGGTGTATTAAAATGATTGATTACTTGCACCCAGTTTATCGAGTGGTGCAAGTTGATTCAGAGCAATGACCTATCCTCTGTTTATTCCTTTCCCAATTTTGCTGTCATGAACAAAAGTTCAGTGGTGGTTTTTGTTTTGTTCCAGGTCATAGATTAAAAATGTTAATCATAGGATCAAGATCTAATCCCTGCTGGATGAAACTAGAAATACAACTGATGACTCTTCTCTCTTTACATTTACAATTTGAGAATTATCCACTAGCCACTCTTAATCTATTTTACATGTGCCATGTTAATTTTATATCATTCTAGTGTGGTGTTTGATGTGTTGTGTGGTACTGAATGAAATGCCTTAAGTCAAAATATACTGTATTAGCAGCATTACCTCTGTCAACCAAACTTGTAATCCCATCAAAAAAGATACCAAGTTAATTTAACTATCTGTTTTCCATAAACCCATGTTTTGCCTTAATTACATTTACCCTCCTTGAATAACTTATTTATTCAAGTTCTAGATCAGCTACTTTTTTATTTTGCCTGGAATTGATATTGGACTGACAGACCTATAATTACCCAGGTTATCTAATTTCCTTTCTTCAAAAATTGGGCACAAGATTAGCTATTCCAGTCTTCTGCAACTTCTCAGTTGCTCGAAGACAACGAAAATCAGCATTAACAGTCCAGTGAGCTTCTGAACTTGAATCCCAGAGGTTTAAAAATAACTAGTTATCTGAAGCTGCTGAGGTAAAAATATCTAACTTTAGTAGACCTCCTCTAGAGAGATGGCAGAGTGGAAGCACTCAAAGATGATAAAGTCATTGCTGGGAAGCTAAATGGATTCTTTACTTCAGTCTTCACGGCTGAGGATATTGGAGATTTCCTGAGTTATTCTTTTTAGGTGACAAATCTCAAGAATTGTCCCAGATTGAGGTTTCATTAGAGGAGGTTTTGGAATAAATTCATTAACAGTAACAAGTCAACAGGTGGCATTCACCCAAGAGTTCTGAAAACTCAAATGTGAAATTGCAGAACTAATTTACTGTGGTTTGTAACCTGTCCTTTAAATCAGCTTCCATATGTAATGACTGAAAGATAGCTAACATGATGCCAATATTTAAGAAGGGTTCTAGAGGTGATCCTAGCAGTTACAGACTGGTAAGTTTAATGTCAATACTGGGCAAATTAGTTGAAACTATAGTAAAGATAAAATTCAGACACGTAGATGAATATAATTTGTTGTGGGGGAAGTCAACGTGGTTTCTGTAAAGGGAAATCATGCTTTACTAATGTACTAGAGTTCTTTGGCAGGGAGGGGAAAGTGTGTGTCAACATACATGTGGACAAGGGGGATCCAGTGGATATAGTATACTTAGATTTCCAGAAAGAGCCTTTGGTGAGAGACCCTGTAAAAGGCAAGTAAAGTAAGTGGTCATGGAATAAGAAGGATTCATGGATTGATAACTGATTAAAATACACGAAACAAAGGGTAGGAATAAACGGTAAGTTTTTTTCTGAGTGGAAAGAGGTAACTAGTGGCCTCGTCTTCTCTCCTCCCCCCTCCGCCCTCCCTGGTCTGTCATGGGACCAGTACTATTCAACTTATTTATAAATGATCTAGATAAAGGAGTAAACAGTGAAGTGGCAAAATTTGCAGATGATACCAAACTACTCAAGATAGTTAAGACCACAGCTTGCAGTGGAGAGCTTCAAAAAGATCTCACCAAACTAAGGGATTGATTGGGCAACAAAATGGCAAAAGAAATTTAATGTTGATAAATGTAAAGTAATGCACATTTGAAAAAATAATCCCAGCTATACATACAATACGATGGGGACTAATTTAGCTACAACTACTCGAGAGGTCTTGGAGTCAGTTGATGTCTGAAAACATCTACTCAATGTGAAGCGGCAGTTAAAAAAGCAAATACAATGTTAGGAATCATTAAAGGGATAAAGAATAAGACAGAAAATATCTTACTGCCTCTATATAAAATCATGCTACACCCACATCTTGAATACTGGGTACAGATGTGGGCTCATCTCAAAAAAGACAGTAGCATTGAAAAAAGTTCAAAAAGGGCCCCGAAAATGATTAGGGGTTTGAAACGGGTCCCATATGAAGAGAGATTAAAAAGACTTGGCTTTTTTATCTTAGAGAAGAGGAGACTAAGGGGAGATACTATAGAAGTCTATAAAATCATGACTGGCATGGAAAAAGTGAATAAGGAAAAGTTATTTCATTATTCCCACAATATAAGAACTAGGGGTTACCAAATGAAATTAATAGACAGCAGCTTCAAAATAAACAAAAAAGTTTTTCTTCACTCAGTACTCAACCTGTGGAACTCCTTGCCCAAGGATGTGGTGAAGACAAGGGCTTTAACAGGATTCAAAAAAGAACTAGGTAGATTATTGGCAGTTAGGTCCATCAGTGGCTAATAGCCAGGATTGGTAGGAATAGTGTCCTTAGCCTCTGTTTGCATGCAAATGGTTGACAGGAGAAGGATCACATGAGGATTACCTCTTGTGTTCCTTCCCTCTGGGGCATCTGGTATTGGTCACTGTTAGCAGACAGGATACTGGGCTAGGTGGATCTTTGGTCTGACTCAGTATGGCCGTTCTTATGTCCTGAAGGGGTGATAGCAAGTACAGGAAATCGTCACCATTCACAAATACTGGGAGCCATGCTCCCAGCCCCTGTGGTAAGTTTCCCCTGACTTGCAAACTCACTGTGGGGACTGGGAGCCATGGGTAAATTCCCTGAAGCTAGTTTCTCCTGATCCCTTCCACCCAGGACAGGAGACCTGCAAATAGTGATTCTGTGAATCACTAGGGTCTCCTGTATGATCAGTACTCCACACCATAGATGATTCTTATGTTCTTCATAATG